GTTCATGAGAGATTGGGGGCAGGTTTACTTTGAAAATTAAAACTTCCTAATACCTTGGATAAGATGAAGAACAAAAGATGACTCTTAGAATTTTTTTTTTACCTGAACAACTGGATGAATTCAGAGATACAGAGATGAAGCATACTATAGGAAGAACAGACTTGGAAAGGAGTAGAATTGAACTCTATTTCCAGCCAAATTCTCAATTCTGTTTCCACAGCTTATCTTTGCCCAAGGACACCCCACATTTCTTTTTTATTTAAATTAGAAACAAGCTTCTTTTACATGTCAATCTCAGTTCCCTCTCCCTCCCCTCCTCCCCTGCCCTGCAGGGACCCCTATCTCAAGCCCTTTCTGCTCCCCAAGGAGGGTGAGGCCTTCCATGGGGATCTTAACGTCTGTTATATCATTTGGAGCAGGGCCTAGACCCTCCCCAGTGTGTCTAGGTGACACCCACATTTCTAAGTATTGCTCTTGCCCACATGAAGAAGCTGGAGAATAGTCACACTAGAGAATTAACAGCTCAACTGAAAGCTCCAGAACACAAAAAGCCAATGCTACCCAGAGGAGTAGATGCCAGGAAATAATCAAATTGAGAGCTGAAATCAATAAAATAGAAACTAGGAAAACAATACAAAGGATCAGTGTAACAGAGAGTTGGTTCTTTGAAAAAGTCAACAAGATAGACAAGCTGTTATCCAAACTTACCAAACAGCAGAGAGTGAACATGCAAATTAATAAAATCAGAAATGAAAAGAGGACATAACAACAGACACTGAGGAAATCCACAGAATCATCAGGTCATACTTTGAAAACCTGTATTCCTCAAAATTAGAAAATCTAAAGGCAATGGACAATTTTCTAGGTATTGCTCATATGAAACAATGTGGACAGCAAAGCTTTCCTGAAGTTTTAATGAAATGAAGTGTGGAGAGGGCATATTTAATGAATATACCAAAACTCTAAAACTAAAATTGACTTTGGAAAACAGCAGCTTATGTTATTGAAGAACTCACTGCTGGTAACCCCTCTAATTATTTCAAGAGGCCCAAACCATTGTCACACTTCCAGCCTTATGACCCATAAATCTCACTAGTTGGTGGGGTTTTTTTGAGAGTCTCATGCCTAGGGCTAGAGAGATGGCTCAGCGTTAAGAGCACTGACTGCCCTTCCAGAAGTCCTGAGTTCCATTCCCATATGATGGCTCACAACCATGTATAATGGAATCTGATGCCCCCTACTGTGTGGTACCCTCTTCTTCTGTTATTTGACCATACATGCAAATAGAGCACTCATCTATGGAAATAATTTTTAAAAAAATTAAAAATAAGTCTCATTTGCTACCGAGTGAGCTAGTCCCTAATATTTGTATAAAAGAAGTTAAGACACATGTTCACAGAAATACCTGGAAAAAATGTTGACAGTACCAGTATTTATAGTAACCTTAATTTGGAGACATAACAATGGCCTTTATCAAATGGACAAATAACAAGTCATCATGGGATATTTCCAAAGCAAAGGCCCCCATTTAATGTTAACATTAGAAGAGTAGGAAGTACCTTCAATGACTGAGCTCTTCTCCAGCATTGACATTGTCATAATAGCAGATAATCTAACAAGAGACACTTGCACAGCACAGCCCCTGCAACACAAGTGTGAACAAGACCAGACTCTTCTAACTGATGATTGGATAACTGAGCTGAAATAAAATACATGTCATTTTCCCTTGTCACCTCACCTAACCATGAAAAGCTCTCTTCAAAAGAGTTTGCCTAAGTGATTTAACTACAGAAGCCCACATGGGTGCAACCAGTTCCACTGAAAGAATTGCCCTCTAAACTCAGGTCATGTCATTCATACACAGAACAATAAGCAAAAAGGATTTGTTAATTCAAGTCACTGGATTTGGCGATATTTTCTTATGTAAGAAATGTTAACTGATGTATGTATATTCACAAAGCACATGTCAAATAAACTATT